ACCCGACTCCAAAACCCATGTATACCCAGCACACCACTCAGAGACAGAACATCAGGCTGCTTTTCCTTTGGGAGTTTGCCTTCCCCTCCCAGCCACTCAACTCAAGCCAGCTGCAGATCCCTCTCCCATTCCACCTTGTGGTTCCCCTGGCCAGAGGGAAAAGGAAGTTTGTTACCTTTCAGCTGATAGACCCACTTCCTGAGCCAGCCCAAGGTGCTGGTGCACACATGGCCCAGCTCTCCCATGCCGGAGACCTGCTCACTACCCCCCAGTCACATCTGGGACATATTTAAAATTATCTCTAACCACAACTGCAAAGTCAGATCGCAGGAGGTTAAGCCAGTGGCATAGGCTTGCTTGCTAAGGTTCAGCACAGGAGATCTGCATGCCCACGTCCCCTACTCTGGCTCTACCCGGGAAAACTGGGCAACTGAACGTGGGAAGTTTGATCCAATTGTTTCCACTTGAGAGCAGGCACAGAATCCTTGGTTCTATTCTGGACTCAGTGACTTCTTGCAAGTGGGGAGTGATGGGAGGTGGTGGAGGGTGAGTTGTGGTGAAGCAATCAGCCTTGAAACCAAACTGGCCCAAGCCTGTGTCCTAGCTCTGCCACTCGCTGTCTGTGTGGCCCTGGGGAAGTTACCTAACTTCCCACCCGTGGTGCTGTTTCCTTGCCTGAATGTGAGAGGGTTGTTGAGGAGTAATGAGAGAAAGCCCAAATCTAGAACAAAGGCTTCAGTAAACGTAATGTATCCTTATTATTATTCCCAGTAGGAGCATTGGCTGTCTCCTATCTTCCCTAACACTGGGGCAATCTTTTGACTTCTGGGCATTGGCTGGTCAGGTGCGATATCTCTCGGGTCTCTTCCTGCATTGGTTGTCTATGAAGCAATCTCCCTTTGGCACTTATTTTCCTACTTGTTGGCTGAAAATAAATTCACTCATTCCCAAAACCTCTTGGAAAAAGAGGGACTCAGCTTGGCATGGGCTTCCATTGGAAACAGCTCTTCTTTTCCAGAATAGCAATAAAAAGCATGTGTTGTTTGCTGTTTGTTCAAGTTCAGAGGGAAAGAGAGATGGTGAGAGTGACTTCATGTGACAAAGAGAGCTGGGATGGAATTGGGTGGGAGGACAGGTATTTTTAACATATTAAATCCACAGTCTGGGGCTTTGAGGGGCCTTCTACTCTGTGTGGAGTAGAGTACACACCTGTTGTGTGATAAAAATAACAATATGGCATTCTTAGAGCCCTCCATCCTGGAGTGGAACTCTTCAAATGAGAACCCAGGGAGTGACAGACAACACCAAAGGGTGCCAAGTACGGGGAGAAGGGACATGATGGAATAAGTATTAGCTCATGATAGGAGGAAAAAAGGAGAGAAAGAGAAGCGGTAGGATCTGGGCTCTGATCAGCTGAGCCCCTGCTGTTAGCCAAGCAAGTGGGCTTTGCCAGGAGCTTCCCGAAGGCAGCTGTCCAGCCAACCCCAGGCGAGCTCCTGCCAAGAGGCATCATTACAGAAGACTGTCTGATCAACTCCATCGAGATCGCATGAAAGCCTTTCCTGCCCATCCCCTCCTGAAAGAGTATTACCATTTGGACAGATGTTCAGGGTCACTTTCTGACCCATCTCTGGAAAAACAACGACTATCAGACCCCTCCTGACTTACTCACTAATGGGAACAAAAACCATACATCTTTATTCAAAATAAAGAACAATGCCCAGTCCATGCCCTCAGGCTCCTGGAGGCACTTCTGCTTCCTTGTCCCTTGCATGTCCTGCTACCCTTTGGCCACTCTTGGACATAAGTGCCCTTCCAGTTAAGCATGTTCTGGCTAATTAATTTATTCCATCTGTTCTTTCCTCTGGAACTTTGACCATGACACAAAACGTTCTGAAACAGATTTGGTTCTTATATTGGTAAGCAGGTCACCCATAGTGGATGGAGAGTAGAGTATGGCGGGCTGAAGGAAAGGACAGTTATCAGTTTTGTCCCCCTATGTGAACCTGGCTTTTAGGCAAATCTCTGATTTATCCAGTCCATTAAAGGCAGGGAGACATCTGAAACTGCATACAGAAAAAGATAATCTCTGCATCACAAGGGAATTTTTTAAAAACTTACCCTGTTCAAGTCATTGGTAGAAAGAATGAGGGGGAAGAGAAGTAAACAAATGACTAACTGTTCCTGATTCATGTGGAGTAAATGAGTGAACACACTAATCCAGTGCTGACCACGAGCCAGCTCCGTGACCAGGTGGTTTATGTGTTTTTGAACTTTCAGAACAAGTTTGTGAGTAGGTAGAATAATGCCTGTGTTGCAGGCAAGACAGCTACACCACAGAGAAGTGGAATCACTTGCTTTCGGTCACCCAGACCTTGAGTGGCAGAGCACAATTCAAACTAAGGTCAGCATCACTCTAAAATCTGCTATTCCTCCCAAGCCACACTGACACGTGCATTTCTTTGTTGTGAGTTTGTTTCTTCCAGAATTCCGATGGCTCAGAGTCCTTGGTAGGACCCCATCATGTCTTCAGACATGGGGAAAATAAGCGACCACTGCTAGGGTGGGCAAACTCTCCCCAACAGCTTAGGAGAAGCGGGCATTGCCTTCTGTGCACAGGCTTCCTTCATTGAGTTAGTCACCTTTATTTGAAGTCAAATGCCGTTTATCTGCATTGACAGCAGGTTGCTGATCAAATATTACTGAGTCTTCCTCTAAGTGTAAACCTGGGTGAGTTCCTCTGTATACCCTTGGTTAATGCCTTGTGACGGTGGAAGCCAGAACCGAGGAGTCTGGCTCAGCCTAACACAATGTGACAGCTAACGTCCAAAGGAGAAAACAGCCCCTCTCCACTGTTTTCCACATTCCCCGTGTTTACAGCATGCACGTTGCAAACCCAGTCGCAATGGACTTTTTAACACACCAGGTGTTGCCACTTGGGAAGGTCACTTTTACATTTGCAGTCTTTGCATTGTGTTCCCCGCTATGGATTACGGAGCAAGCGAATGAAAAGCAAGCGTCCAGTGTCAATGTGTATTTGGCTCCTCTGACACCCTGTTGGAGGATGCTTACCAAGGGGAAAGACCAGGCCCTACGGGCTGGGGTGGGGGTGCTGGTGGCCAGGCTCAGTGCCCCAGAGGTTCACAGTGACTCTTGGAGGATGTGGAGGCAATCTGAGGGGGTCAGGAAAGACTTCCTTCAATGCAAGAGCAAAGCCCATTCTAGCCTGGAGTCGATTGCGATAACCTTGACAACAGGAACAATGAACGGCACATCATTTTCCTGAGGACGCATCGGTACACATCAAGATCTCTGCCAAATCTCATCCCCTTGCCAAGGCTTCCAGGTGTTTCTTTGTGTTCGCACAGAGAACTAACATCATTTTTTCCTTCAGTTCAGAAGAGGTGGTCCAAAGTGTTTAAGCGACAGTAGTTGCAACATGTCAGAGTGGGAATTTATTATCTCAGCCCCAATAGGTCTTAATAAGCCTTACACAACTGTTTAGGCATTTATTCTATTAACGGCTGTTCATTCTGGTGGCTTCACCTGAATATTCATGATCTTCCTATCCCCAGAGCTTCAGCATAGCAGCTGTTTAAAACCTGCAGCAAATGTTCAAGAGAGTTCCACAAATATAAACACCCTCACAGCTGAATGTTCCAGCCCTGGCCTCACAGAGGCTAAGGCGTGAAACATTTATGTGGAGTGGTTTCTGGAGGGCGGCATTTACAAAACTTAAATAATCTTTCCCCTTTGGGGAGCCCTCAACTCTGTTTGGAACATGACCACAAGGACAAAGCGTCCAGGAGGACATGAGTCCATGAAGATAAGCGCCCGCCCCCTTGCTCCCTCCTAAAAAGGGAGGGTCTGAATAAATTCTAACTGGAAGGGAGCTGGAGTGAGCTGGGGGTGGGCTGGGTGAATGCGCAACCCATTTCAGAGGGCCAAGCCAATTCCTTGTGAAAGAGTGAGGCGGTTTGTAGAGGGAATATTTTTACTGTAAATATATCAAAAGAGAAAGCATTGGTGGTGGTTTTTCCAAAGGGATATAACCAGGAATGACAGGATTAAATTAGCAAGAGAACAATCTGACATGAAATTTTGTGAGATCTCTCTCTTGAGCATATGTTTCCTGCCTTTCAAGTCAGAACGCAAAGAAGAAAAAGTTCAGGCCCATCTTGATGATTCGACAAATCTCCCCCTTGGGCAAGTCACTTAACCACTTAGTGCCTCAACGTCCTCATTTATAAACTAGCGGGGATGGGGGATGTGGTGTCAAAGAAGATGACAAGGTGACGGCATTGTGTAAACCAATAATGTATTATAATTAATGTATTAGAAATACACATTCCCATTGTCTTTGACTTATCCAGAGAAGATTTTTAAGAATTGGCTTAAAAGCATAAAGCTAAAGATAAGTAAGCATGCTTTTCTAGCCTGTTTGTGGAAGTCCAAGCTCACCCTGACCAGTGAAGACAGTAGGGGGAACAAGGATATGGGAATATAGTGAAAATAAAATGAGTTGTGGAGTCAGATTAACCTGGATTCAAATCCCTGCATTACTGCTGCAATTTGGGCAAATGATGTAGCCTGGTTCTGAGCCTGGTTCCTTCATTTGTAATACAAAAAAACACCTTACACGTTTGTCACAAGGTTTGAGATCACAGTGCCTGGCATGACGTAGCAGCTCTCCAGATGTGATTCCGTTCTCCCACCTCTGCTATGGGAGCATGGCTAGCCTGTCACCCCAGCAAACCCACCCACAGCCCCCCGCCCATGGCAATGGTGATCTCGGAGCCCACAGCGAGGTGGACAGTCACTAGCCAGTGACTTCTCCAGCCAGTAAACCACCTCTACAGGTCAAGAATCTGGGCTCATTCCTCCCGGGGAACTCTACGGGCTGTTACAAAGGCTTTTCGTAACTTCCGAAGGAAGATGCCCACCCGCCGTTTAGGCCCCTCTGCTTGTGCCTCCCCAGAATGTACGTGGAAAATACTCACCTGTGTTGTCATCTGCTTTTTGTATCCATGTCCCTCAGTAGAGAACTCCTTCTCCACCTTTTGTAAATGCCACCTTTGGATTCACATTAAAAAAAAAGAAAACTCAAATCCTTTCATGGTATCTGGAATTCCAAAATAAAAGAAATACAATGACCAATATCCAGTCAGTGTGATGATAATATCAACATTCTTTTTTAAGCTGTGCAAGCTTTCTCCCTAACACAGCTTCATATCCCAAGCTTGAAAAACATCATAATATAAATGAGAATGAGAGATCAAACATGGTAAAAATGAATTAATATAAGCACATGTCAAATGTTACAATAGAGAAGCAGAGTGCATCCTGTGAGTGCGGAGGAGGAGGGAGTCTGCTGAGAGAACCGGGGGAAGAGCTGCAGAGAGAAGGGCACGATTTGAGTAGACATTTTCTGAATGGAAACGCTGAAACAGTCATTCCAAGGACAGGCAATTGCATGGACAAAGTTCTTAATGGAAGGAAAAAGATGATGTAATAAGGAAATGAAAAAAAGCTCCTCATGGCTGAAGTGGTTGAGCAGGGAGCACTGTTGGAGACAGTTCCAGAACTTTGTAGTGGGCTGAGAAGCTGGACTATATCCTATAGGAAGGGGTGGAATAATATCATCAGGACTCCATTTTAGAAGAAAAATGTGTGCATGTGTACAATGTTTAAAAATTGAGTTAGGGAAGACCAGAGATGGAGAGATCCTGTGCTACTGATCTCACCCTGCCAATTACCCCATGAGGTAGCTATTGTTTCTATTTCCCTATAACAGTAAGGAAACTGGGGCTGGAAGAAGCCCAGGACTTGCTCTTTAGCTGATAAGTGGCAGAGCTTAGACTCAAACATAGGCCTTCTGATTTCAGGTCTAGGCCTCTTTTTACTTCTCACAACTCATTAGCTACTACAACCACAAAATGCAGACCCTGAGTTGCTTTCAGGAGTTCTGAACTTCTTTACACTATGGACCCATTCAACTGTCTGGTGAATCATGAACCTTTTCTCAGAATAGTTTTTGAATACATAAAAGAAAGTCCATTGAGCTACTCAAGTTACTAAGTATGTTGTGATCAAATATACACACATTATCAAATATATCACTATCATATCTATGTATCAAAAGATTTCAAATATTGAGCTATGGCAAGACAAGTGCTTCTGTATTCACGCATCAAAAAGCAAGCTCTATTAGAGGGACTAAAATGTACCAGAATTTTAAGGTAGCGGAAAATGCAAATAATGTTTCATCTTCAACAACTTTAACAACTTCACTAGACATCTGTGATTTCTAGTGAAGACAGTCATGGCTTTTGCTAATGCTACTGTGACTTGCTGTATATCATAATTAGGAGACATGACAAATTTCTGTTAGAGATTAGTAAACATAAAGGTGTAACTTTTTTTCTCACCCAAATTCACATATCCCTCGATAGTATCCATGAACTATGGTTAAAAACCTCAGGAAATATTTCAAATTTGAGACTGTCTATAAAGTAATTTATAAAATATTTAGGAATGAGATCCTTTTTTTTTCCCCCAAATGAACCAAGAAGCAGAAAATCGTTCAAAGCAGAAGAATTCTGGCTGAAGCTGTATAGGATGGACTCTCAAGTCTCCTTATTGTGCCTCTTTGACCCGCAAACCCCCCAGCGGAGCCAACCCATAAGACATCTCCTTTGCAGAAAATACTTTGTTATGATTTCCCAGCACTGTCGGCAGTGCTCAGCTTTCTCAAAGCAAGGGTCTAGAAAGTTTTCTGGCAATAACAGCTCTTTCCTGAAAAGACACTGCCATTCTACTCTCAGGAAAGCTTGCTGTAAGGGCAAGTTTCTGAACAACTGGGGATCTTCAGGAATATGCCAGGGGTAGCATTGTTCATCCACAGGCCTGCTTCCAGTGAACAGTAACGGTTTCGAGCTAATAAGGAAATAATCCATTTTCAGCAGATGAAAGAAGAGGGATCAGAAAGGTAACTTGAGCTGAGGGTAATAACGATGCCAAAAACTTATAATGGAAACTATCTGAAGAATCCAAGACCCTTTGTTAGATATGAATGATTTCTTTTTTCTGGTGAGAAGTGTATGGAGAACTTGAGAAGAAGGGCCTGAGTGGATTTTATGAAAAAAACCTCTGTCTGGGGAAGAAGGGCTTGGGGTTAGGTTGCAGCTCCACTGTATCCTTTAGTTGCGTAACAGGGAGGGTGTTGAAAGATGTTCAAAGCACCACAATATGATGTGCTCTGTCTTTGAACTCTTTCTCCCAGATTTTAACTGTAAGTTAAACAAGTTCATATATGTTTCTCTGAAATCCCTCTAGCTAGGTGTGCAATAGACAGCAGAGACAGAAACAAATTTAATTAACAAAGAGTTCTTAATATGGCACACACCTGGAGTTCTCTGCTCTGAGTGCCAGCATCTGTACTGTAATAATCAGCAAGAATTCACCAAATCAAGATGCCTATATATAACAATACTTTAAAGTTCTTAAAGGCAGGATTTTTTAAAGCATTAAATGGATTTCATTGAAAATGTCTAACCCTGTTCTTAAATACAAACTAGAACCTGTGGCCTTTACTATCAAAATACAAAGAACTACAAAAGGTACAGAGTGGACTGTCATATCAGTTTATAGTTCCTTTTATTCACTCATTTCATCTGATTATTTAAAAACTATTTATTGGATGGCTTTGATTGTCGATGGGCTGAACGAGGTGCCAGAGAAACACTGCAGAGCAAGACCTGGTCCTTGTTCTTATAGAAGACATAGAGAGCAGACAGGCATTATACCAGTAATTAATCCATTCCTCCTCATTGTCAGCCTTCAGTATGATTAAAAATCATCCAGGAAGCTTGTTTAAACTATGTGTTCCAAAATCATCAGACCTGAAGTGGGGCTGAGGAATTAGCATTTTTAATGAGCTCCGCGGTGAGTCCAATTCAGGTTGGTGGAAGAATCGTGCAACTAATGAGACTACAGAACAGTCTCTCTGTGTTTCCTGTGGCCCCCGAGTCTCCTGTCCTAAGCTTTCCACACAGGAATGCTCATTTCTTGCTTCACAATTCTTAGTCTGCCTGCACACTTTCTTAGAGCTCAGTCTTTAAACTCTAGGTCCCAGGCGTTAAATAATTTATTTCTGGGGAAAACTCTGATTCTCACCAATATACTCTAAAAACACCATCAGCATTTTCCCATAGCTCCTGTTCCCTAACCTGAACCCCCTGCTGTGCCACTTTTTCAGAGAGCTGTATCATTTCTCTATCCTGTGAGCTTTAGCAGTGGGAGAAGTTTCACACCCCTGTGGACAGGGAGAGTCACTTTCTGCTTGCAAGGTGCTTGAGCTTTTCCAACAAGAAACCATTGACTAGTCCATCCCACTTGGTATTATCAAAGGGCATGACTGTTTTACCTCTTTATGCCCCCTATTACAACACATATATGTTCGCTCACACATCCATATGCATGTAAGTAGGTCTGCATATAAAACTATCTAAATAAAATCGGTCATTTTCTTTTTTTTTTTGAGACGGAGTCTTGCTCTGTTGCCCAGGCTGGAGTGCTATGGCACAATCTCGGCTCACTGCAACCTCTGCCTCCCAGGTTCAAGTGATTCTTCTGCCTCAGCCTCCCAAGTAGCTGGGACTACAGGCATGTGTCACCACACCCGCTAATTTTTTGTATTTTTAGTAGAGATGGGATTTCACCATGCTGGCCAGGCTGGTCTCGAACTCCTGACCTCATAATTTGCCCGCCTGAGCCTCCCAAAGTGCTGGAATTACAGGCGTAAGCCACCACACCCAGCCGATCTGTCATTTTCTTAATGTTGTCAAAATATATCAATTTTCAGATTCTCATGTACAAACTACATACAGCCAGCAGTCCACATGAAAATGTGACTCTTCTCAATTCTATCTTCATAAAGCTACCACAAAAGAAAGAACCCCAGTCTCTAAGTACAATGGCCCCTTCTCTTCCTGTAGATAACAGAGCTAAGACCATGCCTTGACATGACCCCATGCCTGGACCTCACTGTGACTCAGCCTGTGACTCCAACAAATTAAGGCAAGACCAGATTTTATCTTCCTCCCAAGCACAAATTGTTGCTGCTTAATAATCCCTGAACCAATTAACTATATCCCAGTAGATTCTAATACTTGTGAAAGTCAGTCCCTACATGTTATTTCTTCTTAATATGGTAATACCATACCATTAAAAAATTAGGTGCTTAGGGGTGAGCTGAATTTGTGAAAAATGTGAATTATAAATTATATCTTTTCAGAAAAATTTTGATAAAATACATCTAAATTAAGTATTATCTAGCAGAAGGCATGCTGCCCTAGCCCTGCTTTAATGAGTAGATGAGAATAATTTGCAATTCACAGACCAAGGTTGCTGAATTGCTTTTTAAACATTCCTAGTATAGGGCACACATGCTTCCAAAGGATGCATCACAGGAGTTAACCAAAGCTGGCTCTGTAAATACTCAATAGGGATAGTATAACAGATTTAATCACTGGAGAACTTTTTGAAGTCTGTATCAGCCCAAAACTTCCATGATTACATGACAAACTCAATTTAACATATCTTTTTTTAAATTTGATAAAATTATTTGAGTCTAAAGTTGTAACAACCAAATTGAAAGATTTTGCTGAACCCAATTACTCTGTTTTCTGATTTTTGTAGAGAAGTTGATAGCTGGTGTCCTGCCAAGAGCATCATGTTCCGTGATATCTAACTGAAAAAAGAGAAAACTTTACTCCCGAAATGAAGAGTAACACAATAATAAAATTAGCAACTGACATTTATGTCATCGTGTACAATTTACTTGCAAATGCTATATCTTTTTTAAATTCACAGTTATTACATATAGTAAGTAAAGTCTTATTATTAATAATTCCACGTGAAAGTCAAAGAATCCAAGAATCTGTAAGCTCTTTTGGGATCGCAGTTCAGGTCTGACTCCAGAGTCGACCTGATGTATAATAGAAGCTCAGTAAGTATTAGTTTAACAAATGAACGAATTAATTAAATCAATCAATCAATTAAATAAATAAGGATATCCTATTTAATTAAAAGAGAGCACTACTAAGCAAGGCAAAATAC